AGCCTCCTCGAGGCGCGCGCGCAATCGGCCGCGGCGCGGCGCGGCTCCCGTTGCCTCCTCGAGGAACGTCGTCGTCGCTTGGCGGAGGAGGCCGCCGCCGCCGCCACGCGGCTGCACGACCGCCATCGCCACCTCCTCGAGGTGCTCCGCGAGGTGGAAGAGGAGCTGCGGCGAGATCGCCACCGCGCCGCGCAGGCGCAGCGCGAGGAGGAGCGGCTGCATGCGCAACGAATCCGCGCCTTCGAGCCGGCCGTGCGGGCGTAAGGAGGGGTGGTGGGGGTTTCGTTGTTATGTATATTCCATCGAGGTTCTTATAGGTAGACTTATCTATTCTTTCCTCGTTTCTTCTCTCTGTTGCTGTGTTGGTTCAACACGCGAAGGGGGGGGGGGGGGGGGGGCGTTGTCTTTTCTGCCCGTGCGGCTGTACACGGGGGAGGAAGGGAAGGTTGGACTTCCGTAATCGTGTCGTGGCCTTGAACAACCATTATGGTAAATGTGTATTGTTATGAACTTTGATGAAGACGAGAAAGTTTATGATCGTCAGAGAGTCATCAGGAGGGTGGCCAAAGGGGCGTTGGTTCTCGCGTAATGAATCGTTGCTTTGTCCCTCGGTAAGGGTGTTTGTCTTTTGCGATTTCATCTTTTATAAAAAAGTGCTTGACATCTCGAAGAGTTTCCCAACTGCTGAGGTACTTTAGCTGGATTACACTTGTCATTTTTATTTATATTTATATATCCGTGTGCCGTTGGCTGTTTGAATGAGGCATTTCTTTGGAATCATTTTTTATTTATTTTTAATTTATACACAGCAACAACGAGACACAAAAAAGCAATCTTACAATGAGAAAAAAAAGATGCCTACCAAGATGTTTCTTTCTTTTCTCTTTATTAATATCAAAGTAGCAGAATAAAGTGGCACGTAAAATGCATAAATTTACCGAATATGCTCTTTTTCTTTCTACTTCGATGTGGACGGACTTCCTCTTTTCCTTTTCCAGGGATCCCCTTGACACACATGTATATTTTTTAAGTTCGAAACTTGTCTCAGTAAAATACCACCCCCTCGTTTGCTAAATTCTTGCCACATCATTCGATTATTACTATTGACCTTTTACCCCCTCTCCCCTCCATTCTTGGACATAAGTTGCGTGCTCTGTTTACTCACGATGTGACATTAAACAAACCACAGGTGCTTTACACATTTTGGGGATCCTTTTCATATCTAATGTTCATATTCCCTACCTAGCGCGAAGTGGAACTAATTTTCGCCCTTCTTATCGTTTTCTTCCTTTTCTTCCTACGCACTTTGATTGAACACTCTTGCGTGCGTGCGAAAAGTGGGAGAGGTTCTGCTTGTATATTTGTCGCATTTCTTCGGTTGTTTCTTCGTGTAACTTTCGAAGGGCTAAGATTACACATCTAGATCGCACTATTATAATTATTAAATCCTTATCTGGTCGCATTTCCCCCCCCCCTGAGATTTTCGGAGGGTATCCAAGACGCAGCATTTGCATGAGGCTTTCTATCGCTCGGACCACCTAACTTATTATTCTTTCTAACGGTTTTATATTCATGTAATAATACGCAAACGTATTATATCATCCGTATCTTATATTCTAAAGAAGTGTAGAAGCAAAGCTAAACCGGATAGCGTATCTGGGGGCGCCAGTGTAAACATACTAATTTTATGAGTTCGACCCCAAGCCTAATCTCTGCGATGCAGGGTTCTAAGATATCATCCATCCTCACTTCATGGTACCGCCACCACTACAGGGGTATTCCCTCGAGCCCTCGGCTCACGGGATCCTTAGGGTACGTGTTCCCCAAACCACTTCTTATGGCGATGCGCACTTTAATCTTTTCCGATCATCCTTTTCCCACTTCCCTGAGGCATCGACATGACGAACGGGGAGCGGATTCAAAAGGTGGTGTGCCTCGTACCGATCCTACCCCTCACGATGATCCTGCGCGCAGCGACCAGGAGGCTCGCGCGGGGCGGCCTTTCCACCCGTTCTCTCCCCCACCGCTGATTGTCTCGTCGCCGTTGAACGCGTTTCGCCCGCCGGCGCCGCCCTCCGCGACGGACGCGCAGCCTTTTTTCGTCGGGCAGCTCAACCGCACCAATCGCGTTCGCAACTACGTCAACGTCAATGTCGTCCCCGAGGAGCTGCATGGGGGTGGAAAAGGGGCGGAGGGGCCTCCTGTGAAACGGCCGCCGCCCACCCCACCCGCCCGGATGGATCCCCACCGGCTGATTCGCAACCACCACTCCCCGGCCCCCGCGGCGGGGAAGCCGAGG